TAAGTTCTGAGAGACTTTTTCAACAGGGAACTTAAAATAGAGCTTTTTTAAAAAAGTTTAGAATTCTGTGTATAATATTTCAATTCCTATTCTTTTCAAACATAACGTTTTGGACATTAATTGAATGAAATGTGCCTGTGGTATTAAAGATGTCGTTAAGTACAGCGTAGGTCAAATTGGACGCATTTAAAGGGAAACACCCGCTTTTCTATAGGAGATATATAGAAAACTAATATTGGTGTCTGGTGTTTTTCCAAAATGTGAATTTTTAACAAATCGCTGTAACTTTTTTGCTATGGAAAATTTTGTATTTTTGTGAAAACATTTCCAAAGCACTTTTCTACGTAGAATTTAATGGTTTAAGTATAATTTTATTAAAATTAATAATTTAAGAATTATCAACAGAAAATTTGATTTTTTATATGGGACAACCTATATATTTTTAATTAGTTGAAAAGAATTTAAAATTACCTTTACAAAAATATAGCATACTTGATATTTTGCTCGATTCCTCTTCGAGATATAGAACTTTTTAAAATTCGCCCACTTTGAATAAGTCGGCTTGTTTTTTTCTAACGACGCCAGCTGTAATGCAAAAACAATGCAATTAAAACGAAAACAATATTTGCAATGGGAGATGCAGAATTTTATAACAATTTAAGCTATATTTCGTAATATCAACACATTTAAACTATATCTAATAACAATAAAAATTAATAGCAAACCATGACATGAGATTTTGCTACAGGTGTTCGACATCTCGACCGTCTTCTGTTATGAACAGACGAGACTGTTTTTGAACATTTCTCGCGGAATTCGTTAACTCAGTGATGGTGAAAGATACTCTCGTATAACCGCTAAGTACTTCTAATACTTTTTTTTGAGGGAAAACCCCATCATAGACACTTGGTAAGACATCCGAAGTAGTGTCAGACTCTTACTAACTAAAACAACCCTCAGAACCATTGTGTGTCTCCTTCTGGAACCGCGTTAGCATTACTTCAAAAGGAGGGTTCCATGTAGATGTTCTGTTCTATGTAGCTGGTTTGGACCTATCGGATCATACGTTGTCTCTCTGTTCTTTTATCCATAACGATTTCCTTAGCCATTTTGCTTATTTTCTTCCAAAATATTTCGTTCTTCAGCATGGTACCAATTAGGTTATCTGGTGTTAGTTTACCCACTTTCTCTTCTACAGCATGTCTAATAAAGCTCCATCTTGCGCAATGGAAAAATGTGTGGTCGACATTGTTAATCAGTTCGCAGTAACGACAAGTAGCCGTATCCCTAAGGTGGAAGCGTTTAAAATAAGCTTCAAAGTATCCATGTCCGGATAAAACTTGTGTTAGGTAGACGTCAACTTCGCAATGACTTCTGGAGACCCAAGGCTCTACATCGCCTATAAGACGTCTTGTCCAGCTTGCTGTGGCTTCTAATACTCGTCTAGATTATACAGGTCATTTTAAAATAAAATTCTTATTTTATTCTTCCGCAAAGATAAAAATCCACTAAGGATAACAGGCACTAGTCCGGCGGCCTCGATTATTCTCGAAATTAGCTGCAAAAATTTGCTGATAACTTCAGCATTTTGAAGCGGTGCCTCGTCTTGCTGGAAAAATATGTTTTCGAGTTCCATTAGGGGAAGATATCAATAAAGGGTCCAAAGCCTACTAAAGACTACTAGTCCTTTTGCCTAATTACTTAAACCATTAAATTCTACATAAAAAGGTGCTTTGGAAATGCTTTCATAAAAATACAAAATTTTCCATAACAAAAAAGTTACAGCGATTTGTTAAAAATGCACATTTTTGAAAATAACTCCAAAACGGTAACAGATATCGATGTGCGATTTTCACCATCATGTTTTTGATAAAAATTGAGCTCCAGACACCGATATTAGTTTTCGTCTATCTCCTATAGAAAAATATATTTCCCTTTAAAAGTGTGCAATTTGACCCACCCTGTACACTTATTTTATTAATATATTGAAAATAACTGTTTAATTTTTTTTAGTTTGATATTTTTTAGAGAGTCACATTTTATCATTGTGCATAATCTCTATTTTGATCAATTTTTCCAATATTTTGACCAGACCTGACCTGACCTGTATATTATATTTACATATCGATGCAGTCATATTTATTTAATATTACTTAATCTAACACATTAACAACTATATTTACAAATATTTTGTCTACAACTATTTATCTGACTTCAAAACCTATTATTGTTGGTCCCAAGTACACAACTCTTCCAACGTATATTTATTTATAACAATTTTATTTTATAGAAATCTTAGAAATCTCAAAGCGAAATGTAAATCTGATATTGAAAAGGCATATAAAAGCTATTGCCGTAGTATTCAAAACCAGCTGACTTCTAATCCTTCAAAGTTTTGGCGTTTCGTAAACTCAAAAAATCATAATAAAACACTACCAGACTGAATAGTTTTGGGGGATGACATTCTTAAGAATCCTAAAGACATCGCTAATGCTATTGCTTAATTTTTTTTATCGTTGGTCTGTACTTGTAGAATGTAGAATGTTTAGGAGGGAGTTAATCACCGCTACCTTACAGATCCATGGTGCGTTCCCCTTTCTTGAGTTATAACGAGTTATAACTCATCATACAGTCTCAGGGCTTTAACAAAAGCCAGTATCTCAGACGGCTCCACAGAGGTCAGCTCTAAATCCTCGACATCAGCCGTACCAAAGTTCATGGCACGAACGGTCGTCGTCTCGGCGCAGTCAGTGATAAGGTGTTCTGGTGTTTCCCCATTTTTTCCACAGAATCTGCATGCTCCGTTTTTTCTCAGCTTCAGCCTACTGAGGAGGTGTTCGTTGAGGAGTCAGTGTCCTGTTAGAAAACCCGTGACAATCCGAAGATTGTTTTTACTTAAACCAAGGAAAACCTTTGATTTTTCTCGGTCGGAAGTTCTGAGGAACTTTTTTGAGTGTCTTAAACCGTTTGAGGACACCCATTCCGAGTTACGGATGTAGTCCTCCAGATTATTGAGATCCGCTTTCAGTTGGTGCCCACTTGGAAAACAAAACGGTTCTGGTCCAGTTAGTGGAGTGTTTGCTACTTTTCTAGCTAGATCATGTGCTTTTTCATTGCCTTCTTTTGCGTTGGTGAGCAGGCACCCAGAGTTAGAGGACTTTATTTTGTTTGCCTAATTTGTTGAGCTTCTCTAGGCATTCTTTGACCAATTTCAAATTGATGGTTACTGAGTTGATCGCGTTTAGTGCTGCTTGACTATCGGATAAAATTGTTATTTCCTGTTTTTGATAGTTCCTATCTAAGATAAATTGTACGCATCTTTCCATAGCGCAAATGTCTACCTGAAGGATGCTGGGGTATGTGCCTATTGGTTCGGAGTATTTAGTTTTCAGCCTAAAGACTCCTATCCCTGTCCCTGCTTTGGTTTTGGCAGCATCAGTATACCACGTTATAGTATGGTCTTTTACATGCTGAGCAGACGTTTCTTCCTTACAATCAAATCATCAAGCAATCTTCCATTCAAAAGTCATCCTGATCCACTCACACTTTTTTGAGCCACCCTGTAAAAGTTAAAATATTTTCCTGAAATACATCCTAGTACATACTTTAGTTTTTTATTATAGGAGCTACAGATGCCCCGACACACTGTGTGACTTGTATATTCACCTGAGATTCCTCTACGGTGTATCTAAACCTTGCTGTGTTGCCACCTTCTACGTTATCCACATTCTACATATTTTTATATTTATAAATTCACAGCAGTTTTAAACTACGCAAAAAATTAGGAATGTTAATTTTAATCTTTTATCTAAATTTGTTAATAAATTGATTGAAACAATTTGATTGATATTTACTCGATTTAATCTGATATTTTTAGATACCTATTGATTACAGAGCAAAAATACACTAAAAACACTAATTGAACACAATACACCAAAACACTTTAGTTCTAAACACTGGACGCACGTTCAATATGTTTGGTTTAAAGTTAAATAACTCGGTTAATTTCAATGTATTTTAAAAACGGTAAAAGGAAAATATGTTTCTTTTGACCAGATCTACCATCCCTTAAAATATCTGCACTTATTTCTGGGACACCCTGTATACATAAATAATAAAAAAACATAAATTTCCTGTTGAAAATTATGTTATTACTATTCTCATTTACGATTATGCATAAAATATAACACGACTATCATAGACTCAATAATCAGATTTGCCAACAATAATCCAATGTCATTAATATACATGCAAAGTTCGAACATCAGCCTATAAATAAATAATGAGATGTATAATTGAGATTTACGCTCCGCAACAAAACTAACCGCAAAACTGACCACGGCACAAAAGCGATTGTGTGCAATTATTGAGTTTTGCATCCTAATACAGCAAACACGTTTTCATATACTATTTTGTTGGCAAACTCAAACTTAGTTTAAAATGAATGTAGATAAATCACAGATCCGTGTTAAATATCAGGTTATGTTTAGCATCATTTCTGAAGTTACCGGAAGTAAAGTTTCCTGAAAATAGATAATTTAAGGGAACAATATTTTAGAATTATAATCAGATATGTACTCATATTTTTCATTTCATTGGAGTTTTCATTATTTCTGCTTTTTTTTCATTATTTCTATCTTTTATTCGATTTTTTTTTGTTGATGAGCTTTGAGGCAAATTTCAGTAAAAAGGTACTGAGGAACTTGGTTATATGGATTCTCAATTCAGCCCGATTTCGGGATTTCAGATCCCGAAATCGAGCTCGGTATTTTTTTACTTTATTCGATAGAAAATGACACTCTGAATAGAATGACATATCATATGTCAACCTTTGACATTTTCGCATATGGTTTATTTTAAATTGTAATCTGCGGTTCATAATAATAATACTTTACTTCTTTTCTGTTTTTTTTTTCTGTATTGCGACAAATTGTAAGTTAATTCATTATTTTCAGTGTCTTCTTCAATTGCATCATTGTAAAGAACTGTATTCTTTTCAGCATTTCGTCGTACTACCACTCTCCGATTCGAAATCGCGCAAAAAGAGATACGGCAGCTTCAAAAGCGGTAGCTACGGAAGCAGTTACGGCTCAAGTGGTGCCGGAGGTGGCTACGGAGGCGGTTTTGGTGGTGGATTTGGAGGTGGCGGAGGAGGAGGCGGCGGTGGTGGAGGTGGATTTGGCGGCGGCGGAGGTCTTGGCGGTATCGACGGATTAGGAAACTTTTTGAGTGGACTGGCTGGTGGAAAGGGAGGTGGAGGAGGTACTGTATTAATCGTTTTCAATTACTTATACACACTATCATTCTAAAAACTGATATACAAGGTGTCTCAGGCTGAGCGTGCATTAGAAGTTTTTAGAGAACTACAATATCTAGATCGGAGATTTTTTGCACATCATGGTTTCACAACGAGATCTATCGATTAAAGATATTTTCAACATGGCGGCATTTCCAGAATTAGCGGAAGTTGACAGCAACTTTCTTATTTTAAAAAGGGTACCCTATTTTTTATTACATACTTAAATTCTCTGTAAAATTTTATGGATTACCTATCATTTTTTTGGTGATGGATTTATTGGTACCTAACATTAACCGTTTTTGAGAGAAAAAAAAATTAAAAATTTTGGAAGAAAAAAACTACCTGTAAAAAAATTGTATAACCTAAATGTCAAACTTAGTGATTACCTCAGTCACTGTGACATAAAAAGAAAACATGTAGCTATATATTTAAAAAATTAAATTGTTCGCGCGAATATCATATAATATTGGTCGTAGCTGTCACTGGAATTGAGCAATTAAAAAATTATCATAAATCATTTTTTTAAATGGGACCCTATTTTTTTATTCCACTAGTAATTTTTTTTTCAATTCGTTAGTTTTTTCTTATACATGTTCCTATACCTAAAATTAATAGTTTTACGTTATTTAAGATTTACTTTTAAAGCGTATATTTTTCTTGATTTAATCTAGTTTCCTTTGACATTAAATGTCAAACAATCAGACAATTTATTTCATTCTGTCAAAAAACTAATTACTTAAATTTAGTATATTATAAATACTGCCGACTTAAGACATTATAAATTGTATTTAAAAATATATATCTCATACTTTCGCTCCTTAGTGATATCCTTGATTATGTATAATATAAACAAGGGTGATATCTAATAGTTGATATTATTAATAATATATCGCAGGATCGAAGGAAAACGGCGCAAAGTTGGCCTGGAAATGAGGATGACACACTGATTTTTTAACTAACTGTCACAGTCTGGCATGGCGAGATATAATTGTTTTATACCATTCGACGTTTAAAGTCATAGGCTACTGGCAGAGGCGGATCCACGATTCTGAAATTTTCGGAAAATTCGTTTGTGACAAAATAAGTTAATAATATCGTATTACTTGACTGAACTCAAGAGGGGGGCTTGGGCCGCCCAAGCCTCCCCCCGCCCCGTGGCTCCGCGACTGGCTACTGGTTAAAATCTAGAAAAAAATACGCTTTAAAACTAAATCTTAAATAACTTAAAAACGAATAATTTTAAGTATAGGAACATGGAACATGTATAATAAAAAAGTAACGAATTGAAAAACCTTTTTATTAGTGAAATAAAAAAGCGGCTCCTCCTTCCGCTATTTCCAGAAGTGCCGCCATATTGAAAATATTTTCAATCGATAAATCTCGTTGAGAAACCATGATGTGTAAAAAATCTTCGATCTAGATATTGTAGTTCTCCAGAAACTTCTAATTCACGCTCAGCCTAGGACACCCTGTATACTAGAAAAGATTAGATTTTTTGAGATAGATATCGGCCAATTTCACTGCGACTTCTTCAAAAAGTTTAATAACTGGGGAGTGAATCTTCCACATGTCTCTTTTTCAATGGCTAATCATTGCCTAGTACAAAGAATCGCACATTTACCTAACTATTGCACTGGCAATCAATTCTGCAAACAAACCTATTGAACTTGCTAGTGATAAACAAATGCAAGACTCCATTGGTCAAATTGACTATATTTATCAATTCAATCAAACACCATTGGCAATAAATTAAGTAAGAATTCTGAACAAATAGTTAATTTCTTATATCATAAAAACGCGCAAAGAAAATGCAAGACCACAAGGCCGCAAGAGTCTTGCATGACTTGCATCTCTTGATCTTGCGGAAGTCTTGCACTGATCGATCTTTTTCTTGCACAAAATGCACGACCAAAAACAAGATCGGAAGACCAAGACTAGTGTCGCTTTTCACCAGACTTGGTATTGCCATGTTAGTAGTTAGTAGACCCACTAATGTTTTGACAGTTTCCTGTCTATTTTTGACGGGTGTTCTATTATGAATTGTCCTTTCCTGCCTCTGTTCTGGTGACTATTCTGAAATGTTCTTTCGTGCCAGTTTCGTTTTTGGCGTCACTTTTATTTTTGCTTTAGCAGTACCGCATAAGGGTTTTTGGACTCGATAAGTCTTGTCATATCGATAAATCTTGTTTAGTCATTCCATATAACTTTTTGTTGCTCTTGTGAAGTTCATGCCCCGCTACCCAGACTAATGTGATATTTCTACATTCTCCCTCCTCTAATTAATACTAACGGATATTTTAATAATTTTTCAGGTATTGGAGGCGGTTATGGAGGAGGACTCGGTAGAGGTAGTGGTGGCAGTGGCGGCTTTTCAGGTAATTATTTTAATTCTATAACATGGGTGAGTACATTTATGTACCGGGTGTCCCACTAAAGCTCCGCGCGCTGAGTAGGTATCGGCGAGAGCGAGCGGTGCGAGCGGCACGACCGGTCGGAAAGTCGATTGTAGCCGCGCACTGGAATCGCACGATCGACGGTCGAGAGTACGTCACCAGCATAAATTTGAGCATATACGAGGAGAAGTTTATTCAAATTTAGTCAAATTCATTCGGTATTTCAAAAATGATTTTTATATTTTATGCTTTATGATGGAAATTGATATTATTTAGATCTTAACCAAATACACATTAATATATTTAGATCTTAACAAAACACATAAAATTAGTGAAATAGAGTGGAAGATGAGGATAAAATATACTACATGACTCTTAGCTTGACCGATTTTAACAAATTTGGTATAACTCAAAAGGGTTTAATTTTAGTTTTTTAATCTAAATAAGTGTCATTACAAACATTTATATATAGCTTTTATTTTAAGTTTTTAAAATATTTGTTTTAAGTCAGTAGTAAATGAAACGAAACTTGTGTTTACATTTTGTTTAATGATTGACGTTTCGACCAATTTTAATTCGGTCTTTTTCAGAATCTATAATATACCTATAAATAATTTTCTACGTTTGTGGTAAGAAAAAATTATATAATAAACACATTGTTAGTGATAAAATTGTATTGTATATTATAGAGTCTAAAGAAGACCGAATTAAAATTAGTCGAAACGTCAATCATTAAACAAAATGTAAACACAAGTTTCGTTTTATTCACTACTGACTTAAAACCAAGATTTTAAAAACTTAAAATATAATAAAAAAGTCAAAGAAAATTGAAAAAAGAAAAAATATAAATAGTTTTTATAGTACCGCATTACCGAAAAGGAACGGCATCAGCGATGACCATGAGATGAAGGTCGGTGCCACTGTATATGTAAATTTATATAGGAAATGTCATCAATCGTCATTTCCCATCCAACTGGACGCCGTTTTTTTCTGTCATACGGTAGATATATGTACAAATATTTTATCATAGAAAACATAGATATTATTTTCTCTATTTGTACCTTTTACGGAGCGATCAACATAGTAACATAGGATGACTATTTATCAGCTGTTATTACTAACGTCAAAACAAACCAAAAATTAAATAATATGATAAGTTTTTTGACGATATTTAAATTCGATTTTCAAAATAATGTGAGATAATCAAAACAAGATGAGAAATAAATGGGTTTAATCGGAAGGTTTTCTAAGTCAGTTATTGAATAAGTGTAGTAAACAATATAGGTTACGTGCTTGTAAGAAATTTTTATAAAAAACCGCATATTCATTATGATATGGTCTTGGTATGGATTAATAATTCATCGGACGTGCTTAATGTAAAACCGCTCCAGTAAAAACAGTCGCTCGGCGTAGACTATTCGCCCCCTCCCATGCATTCTCTGATTTCGCCTGATGGCGCGAGTACCGCCGATAGCTCGAAGCGCACCGAGCGCACCGATCTAATGCGGTGCGCGGGCTTACATTTATTTCAACGTAAACTGAACATTACGTGTCGCTCGCTCTCACCGATACCTATTTCGATCCGATACCTATGCATCGGATCGGACCGACCAGCAAAAGCGACATCGTACATATAGACGGCGCCGGCGTCCACTAAAACATTTCAGCCTGTAGAGGCCAGATTCCTACCTCTACGTATCTACGATAGTCGAGTCACCGCCTTCGCCGTTTCTCGCCGGACTGGTACCGATTCAGTGCGCGCACACCTTTGACTAGCTCTCGGCTGTATCTCGGAAAGTATTAGCCGTAGGGCGTACGAAAAAAAATGTTTATAACTAAAGGGGCTATGAGAAATTGCTGGAAATTATTTTCAAGTTTGTAAAACGGCCACTAGGTGGCGCAAAAAATGCTATATGGTGCTATTGAAAATAAGAAAATAGATTTTTTACAGAATTTTGCCTAGATAATGGGTACTATAAATAATAGCTTCACAATCTTCAGTAAATTTTGGATTTTTTTTGTTAGAACCATTTTCCCCTATCTGCTAAAGTAAAGTGGTGGGGGAAGGTTAGATCTATCTTTATTTAAATGTTAATAACTCCGGACTGGATGATGAGAATCCAACAAACGAGAGCTCGTTTAAAAGAGCGTTTCTTACTCTATATTACACCATAAAAATAAAAATAATAAGGTTTTGAACGTAGACGCTAGGGGGTGCTTTTTTACAATTTAACAAACATAGCACGTTTTTTCAAAAAAATTAAATACGATAGTATGTGTTATGTTAGCTGATTTAAAATAAAGTAACTATTTTTATTTTATTTTTTTGTTAGAATGGGCCTAATCAAGAGGGCTACTGATACTGTATTGTAAAAATAAGGTAATTAAGGGCTTATTTATTGGTATTTATTATAATTTTGCTAATATCTTCGGTTTGAAAGAAGATATCAAGATGCGGTTTTCGCTGACTTTTTAAGATTTTACTACTCTTTACTATCAGCTAAAATTATTTAATTTTTTTGAAAAAACGCGCAATGTTTGTTAAATTATAAGACAACGCCCCCTAGCGTCTAGGTTCAATAGTTTATTATTATTGTTTATATGGTACAATATAGGGTAAGAAACGCTCTTTTAAACGAGCCCTCGCTTGTTGGATTCCGATCATCCAGTCCAGAGTTTTTAATATTCAAATAAAAACAGATCTAACCTTCCCCCACCACTTTATTTTGGTAGATAGGGGAAAATGGCTCTAACAAAAAATATTCAAAATTTACTGAAGATTATGAAGCTGTTACTTATAGTATACCTTATCTAGGCAAAATTGTGTAAAAACTCAATTTTCTTATTTTTTGTTGCAGCCCCCAGCGATCTTTCTACAAACTTGAAAATAATTTCCAGCAATTTCCCATAGCCTCTTTAGTTATAAGTATTTTTTTCCGTAGCCGCTACGGCTAATACTTTCCGAGATACAGCCGAGAGCTATTCTTAGTGGGACACCCTGTATAATATCCTAATTTATGTTCCAAATCACAGTCATTAAATTATCATAAAGCCCTGTCATAAACCTCCAAAATTTGTTACCTCACTTCTGCACTTGTATTGGCGGTGAAAAGGCACAACTGACCACCGTATACTATCTAGGGATTATATTATATTGCGCTATAAACTTTTTTTGATCATTTCTTCTTCTTATCACGCCCTCTCCTGCCGAAGGTTGGCGATCCAAATGGCAATTGTGGCTCTGCAAACTGCAGCCCGGAAGATTTCCACAGACGAGCGTTCAAACTATCTCCTCAAATCTTTTAGCCATGAGTTCTGGCGTCTTCCTACTGATCTTTTCCCTTGCACTTTGCCCTCTATTATGAGGCGCAGTATTTCGTATCTACCACCTCTCATCACATGACCCAGGTATTGCATTTTTCTTTCCTTGATGGTGTTCAGTATCTCTTTTTGTTTCTGCATGCGCTGGAGTACTTCATTGTTGGTGATCCTTTGTACCCATGAGATTCGCAGCATCCGTCTGTATATATACATTTCGAAGGCTTCTATTCTCTTCTCGGTCTGTGAATCCAGTGTCTAGCTCTCACATCCATAGAGTAACACAGAGAAGACGTAGCATCTGGCCATTCGAGTTCTGAGATCCGCACTGAGGTCTCTTCTTGTAAAAAATGATTTCATTCTCACGAAGATTTTTCTCGCTTGCTCAATTCTTGAAAATATTTCTCTTTTCGGGTCGCACTGACTATTGATGTTAGCTCCTAAATACTTAATTGAGGTCACTTGTTCGATTGTTTGTCCCTTGACACGCAGGTGCGCATTTATTGGAGTCTTAGAAAAGACCAATAGTTTGGTCTTGGAGACATTGAGATGCAGTCCAAACATCTCACTATAGTGGACTACGGAATCTATAATGCTTTTGCAGTTCTTGTATATCGTTGGATATTATAACCGTATCATCGGCATATCTGATATTGTTTATTGGGATTCCATTGAACTTGATTCCGCCCTGGATTCGATCCAGTGCTTCTCTAAATATAGTCTCCGAGTACAGGTTAAACAGGAGCGGAGACAAGACGCAACCCTGCCGAACACCCCGTCTGATTTGTATATCTTCCGATGTTGACTGCTTCATCTCAACTACTGCCGTTTGATGCCAATAAAGTTCTGATATGAAACGTAGGTCTTGTTCGTCAACTCCGGTTGTTCTTAGAATTTTGATCATCTTCTGATGATTAACACAGTCGAACGCCTTACGATAGTCTATGAAGCATGCAAATACATTCACATTCATGTCTCTACACCTCTGTGTCATTATATTTAGGGAGAAGAGTGCTTCACGCTTTCCGAGTCCGTTTCTGAAGCCAAACTGGATGTTGTCCATCTGATTTTCGCACTTCTTGTAGATTCGAGTGTGGATGATTCTAAGAAAGGTTTTGAGGACATGGGACATAAGACTTATCATCTGATAGTCATCACATTGTGAGGCGTTGGGTTTCTTTGGCAGGGTTACGAATGTTGATTTAAGCCAATCTGACGGTATTTTGCTTGAGCTATATAATTTATTAAATAATGCTGTTACCAAATCTAGACTTCTGCTTTCGTTATCTGCAATGAGTTTAAGTATTTCAACGTTTATTTTATTGGGACCGGTAGCTTTTCCGCTTTTCTGCGCTTTTATTGCATGAACAACTTCGTCTTTGGTTATTGCTGGAGCCTTTTCATTCAGTATGTGATCTATCGGTGGTGGGGAACAGGGTCTGTCATCATTAAAAAGTGTTTCGATATATTCTTTCCATCTCACAAGCTTAGCCTTTACTCCTAGAATTATCTCGTTGTTATCGTTTCTTAGGATTGTTTCTTGGTGTTTTCTGTATCTGTTTGTAAATTCTTTTACTTTTTTATGAACATTGAAGGTGTCATACTTTGCTTGTAGTTGCTCTATTTCTTGACATTTTGTTGACATCCAGATCTCTTTCTCTTCCCGGCACTTTTTCCTAATGAGCCCATTTAAACGTTTGTATTCTGTCGGGTTTGCCTTCTGCTTCCGTCTGTCATCCATGAGGTCTAGTATTTCCTGTGTCATCCATTCCTGCTTTTTGTTGGTTGCCGTGAATCCAATATCTTTTTCCTGGATATTTGTTATTCTAGTTCTCATTCCATGTCTTTTCGACATCCTCTTCCCGTACAGGTACCTCTACCATTTCTAGTTCTTTTTCGATCTTAGAACTGATCTCTTTCTTTTTCTCGGAGTTGTTCAATAGTGCGATGTCTATTTTCTTTGCCGTTTTTTCTCTTTTAACTCTCAAGAATCTCTTGAGCCTAAAGTGCAGCACGACAGGGTTGTGGTCACTGCCGATGTCTGCTCCAGGGTAGGTTCTTGTTGACTTCATATACCTTTTGAAGGTTAGGCCGAGCAAAATTAAATCAATCTGATTCCTGACAATTTTTTTCTCCCTATCTGCAGGTGACCTCCAGGTGTACAGTCTTCTGGGGTGCTGTTTAAAAAAGGTGTTAGCGATTAAGAGGTTATTCTCTACACAGAATTGCACAAGTCTATCTCCCCTACCGTTCCTTTCGCCCAGACCGTATGCCCCTATGCTATCCCCCTCAACACCACGCCCAATTTTGGCATTGAAGTCTCCAATTATCATCGTTATCTCTCCCTTCTTTGTGAGCCGCATTACTTCATCTATTTTGTTATAGAATTCTTCGATTTCTTGATCTGGTTTGTCATTTGTTGGGGCATAAACTTGAATTATATTTAAATCTCTATGAGTTGTTTGCAGTTTTAATAGAGCCACTCTATCGCCCAAAGGGACGAAGTCTATGACTGACTGTGCCACTCTATCCGAAACTAGTATGGCTGTTCCGTATCGATGCTCTGGGTCAGTGCCGCCTGAATGATAAATATATCCATTACTTGTTCTTTGCCTGCCAGAACCAGGTCATCTAACCTCACTCAGTCCCAGTATATCAATATTCATCCTGTTCATTTCGGCCTCAGTGTTTGCCAATTTTCCAGGCATAAACAAGCTACGTACGTTCCAGGTGGCAATGCGTACTATATTGTCATATATCTTGATTTTCTCTGTGTTTCCCGGATTCTTAATAGTAGGCAACGGGGGGATTCTTCGCACCCTCTCCCCACTTAAGGGGTGCCCCGGACTGAGGGCCATTCTATCGTTTTTGTCTACCATTAAGGTTTTTGGAAAATGATTTACAGTAAGGGTTCCGTTCCTTTTCTGTACCGCAGTGGGAAGACCGTTTTCGCTGATTTAGCCGCGCTCTTCCGTGTTCGGCACTGTACAAGTCATTCTGTTCAAAGTCATTCTTCTCGCGCTATAGCCCGATTTTAGTGAAACTGCTGCCTTTCACCAGTGCAGCCGCCCATTCTGGGACAGACGCTGCGTGGGAATCTTCTTAGCTTCACCTTAATCTCTTCGAGAGCTTGCCGGCATGGATGGCCCTACCGGTAGCTACGCTACCGCCGGCATCGCTCCCATCATTTAGACACACTTTATAGCACTCACTATTCACTGTTCGGAAGCTTATACTCTATGAGGCAAAATTATATCTAGTTTACTATTAATCTTATAAATGTTGCTGGTTTATGAAGAAGAAAATGTGTGCTGCTAATGTAGAACTTTTTCCAAAGGCTGTGTCACCCTATATACGATCCACAATAAGGACAATTAGTTCACATATTCTTTCTTATACTCATTTTTTTTTTCTTTTACATCACGTGAAACTCTTGTTTAAAACACTTCAAGTATTTTATTCAATATCCTACTAATTAAGTTGGCATATTATACGAAAACAAAGGCAAATTCCTCCATGTTACTTTGTCTAGAGAGGCTCCTCGAATGTGGAATGCTGATACAACAAACAAACCACAAGTACAGGCAGGTCGATCCACACTCTGCGACACACTAAATCGATACTGCAAATTAAACTATACAGTGTGTTTTGTTTTCCTATTCGTCTTATCCATTTCAAGGTTTCTATATCATTTTAAAAATGTATCCCAATGTTGTTAGGAAGTCACAAACTAAATCAAGAATATCTTCAATTTATCTAACGTTGCCGATAATTAATTAGAATTTTCTGCATGTTAATACATAATTACTAAATTATTTGTATTTATTTTATAGGAGGTTCAGGTGGTCATTCAGGAGGATACAGTGGTAAGTTATAGTACAAATTATATTTTCAATATGCATATAGACAACTACAATAAATGTTGTGAATTCATCTATTTATAATTAGAAAAATATTATAATAGTGTGCCCCAGAAGCAAACTATATTAAGTCATAAAACATGAGAAAAACGAAGTTATTTCCTAATTACTCGGTTATTTTTATACCTATGATTGCAATATTAGGAATATAAACAACTTATTTTGAACTGAAATGAAATCCGGTGAAACCGGAAGTGATCGGAAACATTTGAACCTGTCAATCAATCCTAATTTATGTCGTATACTAACATACCAAATCTCGTTTTTTTAACTGAAAAAATAAAAAAGATATAGGGGTGAGCCACTTTTGAGACGCACCCGGTATATGTTACGGCTAAAATGGATACTTGGCTAGTTTGCAAACATTCATTTTCAAACAATTTTGCAAACAAATAGCAAAACCAACACCACCTAACCAACAAAACAACAGCGCTTTTTGCAAAATAGCTATATGTATAATAGTATCCATTTTAGCCGTAACATATACATTAGATCATTACATTATACATATATTTGCTTTAACAGTCTCTGGTTGAAAAATCGACCACCACCACCCAACTTCCTTATTTGTTAACTTTTTGAAAAATATTATTAAGAAGATATGCTCCCTTTGTGCTTTAGTTTATATATTTTTAAAGTCAATTTGATCAAACTGGAAAATAATTATTAGTACCGCCCTATAAAGGATTAACATAGTTTGCTTCTAAAATGTTCTCACACTATTGTCATTCCTGGTTATTCTCTGTTCATTCTCAGTTATTCTCTGTTCATTCTCAGTTCATTCTCAGTTATTGTATGTAAAATCTAAGTCTTAATGTTATAACTATATGTATTATGTTGTAGTCTTGAAAAATAAAATTTTAATAAACGAGGCTTCGAGTTGTGATTTTCTAATTACATGTTATTTAATTTTTATTACACATCAATAATAGAATCCCATTAAATATTAATACCTTAACCACAATATGACATTGAACAAAAATTTCTGCACATAAAATCTATGTCTCAAACAACTGGCCACAATTAAGTATTCACGGTAAATTATTTTCTTTAATTATTAGCTAGTTTATTAGGGTTTTATTGAATTTTCAAAATAATTGTTAAAAATGGTAATAAAAATGTATTTCAGGTAGTTCGTCAGGCTCTTATGGAGGTGCGGGTGGTGCCGGAACCGGAGGAGGTTTTGGTAGTGGCGGAGGACTTGGAGGGGGTGGAGGACTTGGCGGAGGCGGAGGCGGAGGACTTGGAGGTCAGTTATTAATTCACAGTGGTCAATCTGCATGGCCTCTGTAGATTGTCAAGTGTGTATAGTTATAGTATGTCCAACGACAAAATCCTTGAGAGTAATAGATGTGTTTTAATTTCATGCAAAGATGCAGCTTAATTTCAAAGTAGTTTATTTTATTTTACAAAGAAATAAGGTACAATTAATGGAAAACAGTGGCCGGTCGTAGCTCCAGCGTTAGTGTGTCGATCTGCGGAGCGGAAGGTACTGGGTTCGATCCCCAGCCAGTACGGTCACTTTATTTATTTAAATAAAAATATTTATTTATCTAAATAGAGCGACCAACGAGCCGCCACCTCAAGGAAGGCAATGGCAAACCACCTTGAGTATATTTGCCTTGTACAGCCTCTCAAATAGTGCCGTTCGGATTCGGCAATAAACTGTAGGTCCCGTGTACTTGTGAAACACTGATGACACACATCACATGTACATGCGAGAGGTAGCCGACGCTCTATGTAGAGTATGGCACTATAAAAAGAAGAATATTTGAGAAAACATGTTGGTAATTAATATTAGTGATGGGAAAACCGATGAATTTTAATAATCGAGTACTCGATTTTCTTGCGATTTTAATAATCAAACGATCACTCGAGCGAAATTTCGCTCGTATTTAAATATACGTTTTATCGCTGTCGCCGTCGCCGTCGCCGTCGCTTGTACCAGTTGTAATCGTAACGCCAAGCAGTAAGCTGCGTGCGCAGAGCGCATATTCTTTCTATGACAGTGGCAAGCGACAAGCGACGAGTATTTTCGCTTGATCATGCATCGAAGCCTTGTCGATGTAGGTGCTAAAATTTTGTCACACAGTTACGTAACAGATAACCTCGTATAGTCCTATAATTAACAATGCGGTCCCAATCAAAAGAACAATTTGTGATTTGAAGATGTTTTACCAAAAATACTGATAAAATATTGCCAATCTGCAATGTATGTAGCAAATTCGCTCGATAGGATAGCTTGCGTTGGTCGCTCGATCATAATCGAGCGATGTCGGTTATTTCAATAATCGAGAGCGAAATTTCGCCCGAGTTATTCCATCACTAATAATTAATAGGATATTTAAAATTTTAATGACTTCAAAATATGAAAAAAAGTGTATAAAACTAAAAGAATTTAATCGAGATATTTTGTTTCATCAATAATAACGGTGTGTGTTAATACAAAACAGATAAGGGTGTATGTTAAACAAAACACTATAAAATCTATAAAAAAGAACTAAAACTTTCTACATTTATTATTATAAAAATGCAGAAATATGCGCATTTATAATTTTCGGTAAACAAACGAAAGACAAATTACTACTTTCCAAGATATAGGAAAGAAAAAATATCCCAACTAGCATTTATAGTGGCAGATATGTAACTGCTACTATCAACGCCACTACAAAGTGGGCGGTGACTATCGGCGGTTACGTCGTATATTCGTAGCTGCTAAGTAACTGCGACCAAAATGGGGAAAGATTTTGAGTAGCCGGGTAGTGTCTTGGGTAGTTTTTGCCACTAAAAGAATTACTATGATGTGTTACTATAAAGTAGCCTACTGGTGAATGCGACTTATCTGTTACGAAGCTGCCTAGTCGCGGGTTCGTGGCAGCCAAGTGTTAGCCACCGACATGTGGAACTTTCGTTAAACTGTTGAACTTCATTCGCAGCGACCTCTTCATGCAATTTCACATTTCATAAAAATAAATGTCATGATGGAAAATAATTATGGCAGCCATTATTATTTTTTCAATATTTGTTATTTACCGTGCACTTTTAACGCCTTTTTTAGGTAAATTCCAGAACGCAATCAACTTTACTGAATAAAATAGTGGGTTTATATAAAAAAAATTTCGACCGCCTCTCAAAATATTTCAAATTATTATATCATTTGCAATAGAAACTCATGTTTGTAATTAAAAAATAATAATAATTTGCTTGAAACCGGGGTCAAACTTTATAATATTAGTCCACCGTCAGAAATAACAAAATAACTAAGGAAAAAAGCTTTAATCTAGGTATATTTAGCTTAAAAACGCATAATGTTTGAGCCATTTGGCTGTTCGTCTAAAAATTCATGAAAAAAATATGGCCGTTTAATCCGAAAAGTTTTTTTATAGTGCCATATGCTTCCACAAAGTACCGGGAACAATAACATATTAGGCCAATCCTACCCGTTTGGACCTTTAAAATCTTCGGATTGATAAAGTGACAATTGTAGCTATCCAAAGGCGACTTTATAGAAACAATAACTTTTTTGGAACTACATGGTCAACGATTTTTTGGAACCATAAATTGATTTTTTCCAAGAAAGTTCCCTGCGCCACCAAATTGCCACTTAATTGGAGCGTTATGGTACACCGATCGCGGCGGTGGCGACTATACATTCCATTGGTGCCACTATAACGTTCCGCCTTGTCCTTTGAAGTTATCTTTTACTTATTGTACATTTTCTATTATTAGTGTTTCTGTATTATCCAGAGCTACATGAGGTATAGAGTATTTTCGCGCCCACTCTTTTAGCTCTTGTTTTATATTGTTGTTGGTTTTCAAATTAGTTCTCCTCTGAGATTCGGTTTCAGATGAACTAACACTACACTCGTCTACAGAAACAGCTACAAAAATGTCTCAGTCACTACCTGATTTATGATGTTCGTCAGTAGGATTATAGAAAGATGTAGTTTTTGTTTCTAATATTGATGAATCGGCTCGCAGTAATTCCTTTCGTTTAATTCTGCGGTAGAAAGTACTAGAATATCTATTTTTTTTAACCTAACCTAACCGCAACTTAAATTTGTTACTATAAAGTAACAAAAATTTAATGGGGGTATTATGGTAGCACTTGTTAGTAACCCCTACTTTGAAACGTTACTATAGAGTTTTTGGTCTTTTATGGTGTCATATTCGAAGATTCGGGTAGTTCCAGCCACTTCTTTAAATTACATGTTTGCGACTTGCAATTGATAGCAATCAATAATACAAGGTGGTCCGAACTGTATTCCGGAAACTTCGGCAGCATATTTACAGATAAAAATAATTAAAAAAGTTCGTATAAATGTACGTTCTAAAATGCTTAGTTTCGGAGATACAGGGTGTAGAAGTTTCACTTTGGGTTGGGTTGGTATTTTGATTTTTTCCAAATAATTTATGAAGTAACGTCAATATTTGGATGGAAATTGGTGTCTGGGAGCACAGAATATCTAGCTACGCAACAGAAGCCTCGTTACATGTATAAAATTGTAGGTAGCAAAAGGTCTTTTAAAGCCTGTCTCCAAATCAGATATTTTGATGAGGTAGTTTCGCTACTACATAATAGAGGGCAATAAATTTAAAAGAAAACAGTTTTCTACAAACAAAATTTAAAAGAATTTTGTGCAGTGTTGCCATTGTGTAATTCATATCGTAATACTTCCTGATAAAGCCTACCTTCAAATTTGCTACATCATTTAAACATATTAAAATAGATCAGAGCTGTTTTTTTTCAATTTGCCATGTTAGTTGGAATTAAATCCCTTCCAGAATACAATCACTTCCTGACGTTTGATTGTATAATTCAATCCTGAATTTTCATTGTAATTCGGCGACAATATAATAAGTATTGTTCTACTATTATGATACCACTTCCTGACGTTCGATTGAGTTCATACCAAGTTCATATCATATAATGGGGAAAAAACGGCGTTGAATGAAATGCATATCGCTGTCATTTTATATGTAAATTTATATGGGAAATGTCATCGATCGTCTTTTTCCAGCCAACTGGACGCCGTTTTTTTCGGTATCATACGGTATTTGATATATACTATTTTTCATGGCATTACAATATTATGGTACCATGAAGCATATCAAGTGATACCATAATATAGTACCATATTACGATACATGGCGTTCAATTGGGCTTAAACTTGATATACTGTATCTTCAGTGACATTGTAATATCATGGTACCATGGAGCATATAAAGTGGTACCTTCTATAGTACCATATTTGATGACATAGCAATATTAGGTACATGACGGCAATAGGGCTTAAACTTGGGATACTACGTATTTTCGGTGACATTGTAATATGATGGTACTATGATGCATATAAAGTGGTACCTTAATATAGTACCATATTACAAACCATTTCCTGGCGTTCGATTGGGCTTAAACTTGGTATACTACGTATCTTCGGTTACATTGTAATGTGATTGTACTATGATGTATATAAAGTGGTACCTTAATATAGTACCATATTACGATACCATTTCATGGCGTTCGATTGTTCTTAAATTTGGTATACTACGGATCTTCGGTGACATTGCAATATTATGGTACCTTAAAGCATATCAAGTGGTACCATAATATAGTACACTATTATGATATCATTTCCTGGAGTTCGATTGGGCCCAAATTTGGTATACTTGCGTTTCTTTATAAAAATTTGTTTAATTAATAATTTTAATTTATTATACGAATTTTAATTTATTGTTCGATGTCGTGACAGCAACTTTTATGCCGAACTAATATATTATTAATTGTACCCGTGTCACTTTTTAAAATCTACCTAGGTCTATATAAATAACGTGGCAAACGGAAGAAATTTGTTATTATAGTATTTTTTAGTCAGTTAACGTTTTTTGTACTCCATTTTAATAAATTATTTCCATTATTATTAAACTTATATTTCATTACTAACGTTCCAGCATTAATAAATATCACTATCAATCGCCGTGTATATTATTAATTTTAAAGGTATTTTCTTAGTTAATATAACATTATAAGGTAGTGTATATTAAAAATGTATATGTTTTGTAATAATATACTTAAAACTATTTTAATAGCCAAAGGAATAATTAATATAAGTGTATCTGACAAGAAAAGAAGAATAGAAAGAAACACATACTGCATTATACACAGTAAAAAGAATGGGATGCCAATTCAAGTTTTTTTGAATCTGGCAACTGTGCATATTTAACCGAGCTACAAGGCAGTCGACGAGCCGTCGATCCAAAACCCAAAGTTCAAGATTTCTAATTATATTCTGATTATGATATTGTCGCGCCATCTAGTATTCTATTTGTGCAATTTTAGCTCCTTCATTTCGAGTATTTTTCTGTTGCGTGGCTAGATATTCTGTGCTGGGAGTCTTTTGGAATAAGAAATTTGAATGTCAATATGACTTGTAGAGGGCGCCACATGCATATTTTTTAACTGGTTTGAAGAGTAATAACTTCCTTCCGTACTTCGTCCGTATCTGTATAAAACTACTGAGTAAGAAAATATACATTTACGACGTTTTTTACGTAAAAAGATCTCTTTGTAAAAATAAAAAGTCACGGAAATGTATATTTTTCACTCAGTAGTTTTACGCAGATATGGACGGAAAGTGATTACTCTTTAAAACAGTTAAACCACATGTAGATGGCACCACCCTACAAATAGGATTCATATTAACATCAAATTTCTCATGTCGAAAAACTTCCAGACACCAATTGTCATCCAAATCTTGCCGTTACTTCAGAAATTATTTGGAAAAAATCGAAATAAAAATGAAACTTTTACACCCTGTATCTCCGAAACTAAGCATTTTAGGGCATACATTATACGAAGTTTTTTACTTGTTTTTATCTGCAGAATATGCTGTCGAAGTTTCCGGAATACAGTTCGGACCACCCGGTATAAAGGCTCAAGAATAATTACATTTAAGCCGGCACAGAGTGGGGTATTTGACACAGATAGTTGATCGAAATTATTTTTTTAATTATTGCTAATTTCAATTAAAGAGGAAATAATATGAACAAAATAAAGGATAATTCGTCGATTCTAAAAAAAGAAAGAAAAATCACTGTTCCAGTGTTTCCACGGACAATGCCACTAATACCAGTAGTAATATCGCAACTAATACTACTAATGCTACGACTAATCCGCGAGCAATGCCCATACCACTAAAGTCGCTACTAATGCTAAATTGTGTTATACTGCTAATGGCACTAATGCGATCGCTTTGTACACAACAATTCCATCGCGGTTTACACCTCGCATTAGTATATCACTGATTGGCAAATTAGAGGAAACCAAGAATGTTTTTCTCATTTTATCAGCAAAGTCGCAAAAAGTCGCAGTATTTTATTTTACTGTATGAAAGCCCAATGTTTACTAAGTAAAACGTATATAGACAATATGCTGAATTCTTCGAAATGCGCAACTAAATCTCTAAGTATAATAAAAATGTCACAAATTTAATCAAATTTTCTGAACGCCCAACTTTTAGTTGCAAAAAAAATCGTTAGTATAGAGAATATCAAAATAAATAATCCGTTTTTGTAGAATACATACCTGCAGCTTGCTGAGCCATTTTCAATCAAAACAATAATATAAACGTAAAAAGAGCACAAGAACAAAAACAATTTATAATTTTAGACATAAAATTTAGCCATTTACCTCTTATCTTTGAGAAGTAACAACTTTGACGTTTCGTTGAAACAAATGAATGCAACTAAACACACCCATAGCAACGCCATTCATTGCAGACATGATTTAACTTATCATGTATCTTTTTTTGGGAAATCTTAAACACATTTGCTTTTTCGAATTTCGATCACCTTTTTCATGCTAATACCCCACCGTGCGGCATCCCACGACGCGGGACTTGACGAATTTGGCTTGGCAAGTCAGTTCGCCAAGTGGCGAGTCAGCGAGCGTGGTTGTTTCCCACGGCGCGGTGCGTCGCGAGTGCAAATTTGCGCGCGACTGTCGACTGGACTTGTCAAGTTGCATAGTAGTGAAAACAGTGCAGTGTATATTTGTTTGTGGCAATGTGTAGTCAACATCGTTGCCATCAATGCTTTTTTATTCTATTCAAGTTTCGCCACCGTGCATTTGACACTTAAATTAGTTTCAATTCTTTTCCAACTATCATGAACAATATTTCTATTTTTGTGGTTTGGGTCCTTTGGATTCCACATTGCTGGTTCTCCTTCGTAAAGTTCCAAAAATTCTATAACCAGTTCATTTGACCACCCCATTCTTCAAAAAATAAATAAATGAGAAACTTAGTTTGCAAAAAATACACCTATCTCAACGATTATTCTGCGACGATATGAAGAACGTTACTGAGACTGCAAAACATTTTTGTTTTATACAAGCCTACGTGGGAATGGTAGGAAATGATTCAACAAGTTCAGACAAGTCAAGCTTGCGATGCTCGTTCATCCTTTGACTTGTGCCACATTTACCGACAATTGACGGGAAGACCGCGCCGAGCCGAGCCGCTCGTCGCATCGACGAGCGCTCTCATTCCCACGACGCGTGGCTCGGCAAATCGCGCGCCAAACTCGCCAAGTCCCACGTCGTGGGATGCCGGCTTTATGTGGCGTAGCACCTCGTTGGCGTATTGCTGGGCGGTACCACCAGTAGCTATCATTTTTAGTGGCACTGGCAAAGTTTACAGAATTCTGTACAAAGTAACTCATATAAATACAAATAGAAATATTATGAATATATAGTTAAAGGTAAAAATAAACATAAAAGAATTCCAGAAATTAGTAATATCAAATTTAACTTTTAATGACATAGCCTAAGAAGAGGAAAAGGCAAATTCTGTCAGCCTTAGCTGTATTTATATATAACAAAATCCGGTAACAAGCAACAAAAGGACATTAGAAGTCATCCCCAGATTAGTCAGGCGGTTAAAGAAATGTAATCTTTAGAAATAATAACTAAAGAAGCAAAAGAGTTTTAAAAATAAGATATGTATGGCATGTAAATCTCATATAATGAGGAGTTTTGTATATATCTAAGAAAATATACGGTATTCATTATTTTTTCTGCTTTCTTTCTCTTCAGAATTATCGTATGTCAAATACAAACGATTTTAGAACATTATCATTGCAATAAATTATAGATATTATTGTTACAACTATTTTATAGATAAGTAAATTGTTAAATCTGTTTAAAAATATCGTATATTATTATATCATGTTAAAAATCTACAGAAATGCAGGCTTATTTTTCATTCTCAATTTAGGTGGACATGGAGGTTCAGGAGGTTTAGGTCATGGTGGTGGAGGTTCCGGAGGTGCAGGAGGTCATGGAGGAGGAGGTTCAGGAGGCTTCGGAGGTGGTGAGTATATTCGTAAATATACAGGGTGTCCCAGAAATAAGTTCAAATATTTTAACTGGTAGTATAGTTCAACCCCAGAAACACGCCTATGAGGTTTTTTCGCGAAAAAAATATTTTGAAAATTCGAAATTTTTTGAAAATTTTTTTGGAATTTTTTTTAGTTTTTAGTTAAAAAACATAATTTCTTGATAATATGGCAACATAGGTATTAGATTAAATTTACAAGAAAGAAAGTCCTGAAAAGATCCAGTGGTTCTCAAAATTTTAGCAAAAAATCATTTTTTTTGAAATTTTCAAAGTAAAATGACTCCGTTATTTTGGACTTATTTGAAAAACGATATAGAGAAAATATGTTTCTTTTATCGAGATCTACCACCCCTTAAAATATTTGCACTTATTTCTGGGACACCCTGTATATTACTAGTACTAGTTGAAGCCTGGCGCATCCGTCACGACATGACATCAGGAAAAAAATACTTTTTTTTTAATTAAATGAAAAACAAAAAATCCAGCGACGACAGATTTTAGAATAGCCAATTAGCTATCTTTTAGTGAAAAAAGCAACTTTCTAGAGCAAGTCATTACTTCAGTAGACACGACACAGATAAACATTAACATTTTATATATGTAGATTCTTAATAATTGATGAAAAAATATTAATATGATAATTGTATTAGACGAGGGCTCACTGTTGGAATTACATGTACATTTTCTTGGTAGCCGCTGGCAAATTTGGCAGTCGCAGTCTTCTTCGCAGTCATTGGCAATCGCTTGGCAGCAAAATGATATTTTGGCAATATATGTAAATTTTTTAACCAAGTGAGACACCCCTCGGTATTATATTTGCCAATATTAAAGTAAATAGAAGAAAAATTCTTCAAATCTCTCATTTTAATAAACTGTATGAGCATTAATTATAATGACAAGTATGACACGTATGATGATTTTCTTATTCTTTAACTTACAGGTAGTGCTGGAGGTGGTGGATTTGGAGGAGGTGGGGGAGGTGGCCTTGGAGGTAATTAAGAAATAATTAAGGAAATATACAATATAAAAATGAAATAATATAATTTTAATGTTAAATAGGTGGAGGAGGTCATGGAGGATCAAGTGGAGGAAGTGGAGGATTTGGAGGTAAATTATATGACTATTTTAACTGCGAATATACTATACAGGGTCTGCGAATATACTATACGGCAATAGTGCGTCGGGCATCTGTAGCTCCTAGAATAAAATACTTGGGAATTTTGATTAAGTACAAACCTGAAGTATGTACTAGGATCTATTTCAGGAAAATATTTTAACTTCTATAGGGTGGCTCAAAAAAGTGTGAGTGGATCGGGATGATTTTTTTTAAATGGAACACCCTGTATATTATTGCATTTTTTGCTTCCTTTCAGATCACTTTACATAATCCTAAGATCCTGAGTAAATATATTTTGATAATTTCAGATATATTAATAAATAAATAAAAATTATATATTTTTAAGTCTTTCTTAAAAAAATTATTAATAATGCAAGAACTGTCCTGAAATCAAAACTATATTAGATATTTACTTTAGATAGTCTGTACTTCCTTTGCTATAAATATGGAAATCGTAAATCATACAGGATGTTCAAAATTCTACGCCAAACTTTCTAAAATATAAAATTATTTCTCTTCGTTTTTTTAAATGGAATACCCTGTATATTATTTTTTCAATAGATGGAGAATTAACAAATGAAGATTTTTTGTATTTAGAGTATTTCAAAATTTTTAACGGTTTCGCAGATATTCCTGGTTTTATATTTCATATAGCATTTTGCACAGTAAATTATTATGAAAGCCACCCAATGATTTTTTTCTCGTATTTTACCATTGAAAGCGCCATATGAAATAATACGGCGTGTATCCGCAAAACTATTAAAAATTTTGAAATACTTTAAATACAAAAAATGTTCATTTTTTAATTCTCAATCTAATAAAAAAATAATATACAGGGTGTTCCATTTAAAAAAACGAAGAAAAATTATTTTATATTTTAGAAAGTTTGGCGTAGAATATTGAACATCCTGTATGATTTACGATTACCATAGTTTATAGCAAAGTAAGAACAGACCATCTAAAGTAAATACCTAATATAGTTTTGATTTCAGAACAGTTCTTGTATTTTTAATAATTTTTTTAAGAAGGGCTGAAAAATATATATTTTTGATTTATTTTTTAATATCTCTGGAACTATCCAAATAGATTTACTTATATCTTAGGATCATGAAAAGTGATCTGAAAGGAAGCCAAAAATGCAATTATATACAGGGTGTTCCATTTAAAAAAAATCATCCAGATCCACTCACACTTTTTTGAGCCACCCTATAGAAGTTAAAATATTTTCCGGAAATACGTCCTGGTACATACTTTAGGTTTGCACTTAAACAAAATTCCAAAGTTTTTTATTCTAGGAGCTACAGATGCCCGACGCACTGGTGCCGGACCCTGTATACTCAATCTTTGACTTTCTCAGTAAAAGAAAAATGATTGTACATATTTTACATTTACAATAAGAACAATAAGAATTAATCTGTCATCTTTTAAAACACGCATGAACATAAAATGTTATAATGGAATTTTATGGATGGTTAAATTATACTATTATCCTTCCATTATATTCCCTTTAATAATTAATGTTAAAAAGAATATTATACTTAGTAATTTGTCAGTTCGTATATGTGAAGTCATTTTCTTTCCAAAATATTTATTAAAATAACCACATTATTGAGAAAAATACCTTAATTTTATTTTATTTTTTAAAACAGGTGGCGGCCATGGAGGAGGTTCAGACGGATATGCCACAGGTAAGTAATATAAATTTGTTGAAGGTTTGATTCTTAGGATTATGATCCGTAACATTATTGTTACGGACCATAATCACAAGAATTAAACGTTCAAAAAATATACAAATATCTATTGTCCAAAGAAAACTATTATCCAAATAATAATATAACTTTAGGTATAAAGCCAAGGTATAAAGCCAACTAGTACAACCTAACCTAACCTAACATTTATCTTAAAAAAAGCTAAACATTTATCTCTTCCAAAAAATTTTCTTTTATGTATGTAAATGTTTCTTTTCTGTACGAACGAGTGGGAATAGTGAAAGACACCTTGTTGGGGCTAGATTAACCATTATATTAAGCATTGTGACGATATACACATATTTTTCGATTTTGATCACTTTTTCAATACGTGGGAGAAAAGAGAACTGTCCTCTGGAATAGAAATCAGTTTGCAACTCTACTCTAGACTGCTCAAATAAGGATATATCTACTGATATAACAGTAATTTAAGCTGCGCCCATTGCTTGCAATCGAGAAAACTGTAGTGCAACCAAATGATTTGAAGTTTTGATCAGAACTCCTCTATTAAAAGGATTCGGAAACAGAAGAAGAAAATATTGGTTCGGAAGAGTTCAATAATAGTTTTAAGATAACGTTAAAATTGTCACAAAAATAGTAGAGTTAACACAATTTTATTATTAGTTTATAACGCTTACCTTATGAATCCTCTTTAAACACAACATTTTATTCTATTACAGGACAAGTGTCAATAATAGGAGGTGGCAAAGGAGGCAGTGGTGGATTCGGAGGAGGCCAAGGCGGAGGCGGCGGCGGCGGTCTTGGAGGAGGTGGAGGTCTTGGCGGAGGTGGAGGAGGTTACGGCGGGGGTAGCAGCGGCGGATACGGTGGATCAAGTGGTGGCGGATACGGTGGAGCAAGTGGAGGCGGATTTGGAGGAGCAGGGGGATACGGAGGTGGAAAAGGTTTCGGCGGAGGTGGTGGTCTTGGAGGCGGAGGTGGCCTTGGAGGTGGAGGCGGAGGTGGACTTGGAGGAGCCGGGGGTCACGGAGGTGGCCTTGGAGGTGGAGGCGGAGGTGGACTTGGAGGAGCCGGAGGTCACGGAGGTGGTTACGGTGGCTCAGGTGGATCCGGTGGGGGTGCATACAGTGGATCTAGTGGAGGTGGATATGGTGGAAAAGGACTAGGAGGTGGTCTGGGCGGAGGCGGCGGAGGTGGATTTGGAGGAGGTGGCGGTGGAGGTCTCGGTGGTGGAGGCGGTTTAGGAGGATCAGGAGGAAGTGGAGGATATGGAGGCCATAGTGGAGGTGGCGCTGGAGGTAAATATTTCATTAATAGCGCATAATCATTATAATCATTATAACCGTTTCATATTCAAATACCGCTAATATTGGAGTACAGAATATAATACGGCTAGATCGAAAAAAAAGGTGTCAAAGATGGCGGGGTAATGACAATCGATGATTCAAAAAAATATGTTTTTTTTTCAAACGTCACAAAAGTGTTAGTTTTTGCGACGTGATTCACAATATAAAAAAGTAATTTTAACGCCTAGGCATAAAGGTAAAGCACTCTTACGCCTAAGCATAAAAGTATCAAAATAAATTATTAAACTAACATAAAGTGTTAAATTCAACGAGCGTAACCATAGTTTCTCAATATATGATTATAATTAAAAACCAGGCATTACTTTTAAATATTTTTATACTATTTGGAACATTTAAAATTGTTTAAAAAATTATTTATGACGTTTGAAAAAAAAAACATATTCTATTCGGAGTAAAAATAACTTTTTGTGTCTCGCCTGTATGTCAGACATACGCAGCCTCAACACGAAAAGTCAGAATCATTTTTACTCCTAATAAAACAATATACTATTTTCTAATTTTAAACTACATTATTTAAACATCATTTTTACTCAATATAAAAATAAACAACAACATAAATTACAACCTTCTTAAAGCCAGCTGGCCGTAAGCTCCATTAATAAATAAAGAAGAGTATACGGACCAACTAAATGACGTCTAAGACTTGTCCTCGCCAAAATTAATATCGGTTTTCATTCCCCAGCCATCTATGACGCCGTTTTTTTGACAGAATTAAATTTTGAGACAGGCATTTCAGCGGTAGACATAATCAAATACATTGAACATATATCAAAAACAAATAATATTTACATTCACCAAGAATTACTTTAAAGTTTATCTCCTAAGAAGAACTTATTTGAATTACTTCAGGATATGGCGGTCATGGTGGAGGTGGTTACGGAGGCGGAGGTGATGGTGGATGTTCCGGAGGTTGTGATGGAGGAGCGGGTGGAAAAAGTGGTGGTTATGCATCTGCAAGTGCATCAGCATCAGCGTCAGCAAAAAGCGGAAGCTAGTAAGTTAATTTTTGATGATTTACTTTAAAATATACCACAAAACACAATTCTGTGTTTTGTGGTAAACAAAATAATCCATTCCAGTTTTCTTGCTTTCTTATTAGACAGTGAATGAAAAAGTTAAAACATTACTATAAGTAGCATGTAGAACAGAATGTTCTACGTTCTACATAATATAAGAAAGTGTGATGCATTTCAATCAAACTACACTAATTTTATTCATTTTATACAGGGTGTTTCAAAAACATGTGCCATCTCTCGTGGGGAGATTCCTCACGTAAAAATAAGACTTATTTTTCATAAACATAGATCCGATTGCAAACATAGAACTGCTTTGCTTCGTAGCTACAGGATGTTTAAAGTCTTAATATTCTTTCGTTTTATTATAATTTTAGTTTTCTTCCAAGTAGTTTTAGTGATTCGAATGAAATTTTGAGGGTAAAAGTCAATGGCGTAGCAAGGCGGGGGCGGAGGGGCCAGGTCGCCCCAGGCGGTGGCCCTCAAAGTACCTGTGGAGCGACAAAAATTTGTTATAAAGGCGGCAGACGGATTCTGTGGGGGCGGCAAACATCCCTCCTAGAGGCTCTCCGCCCCGGGCGCCCCTAACTCACGCTACGCCACTGATAAAAGTTACTATAAGTGCTACATATTTTAATGTTAAAAAAGTGGATATAAATTCATCAGGAACGTGCATATGGGTTATCACTGGAATATTTTTCAAAAACAAATATGTGCGCCATTGACTTTTTTTCTTTTGATATCAAAATTGTGTTGGTCGTTTAATGCTAATTAAAAGTTATCTCTTGATATTTTGTCGACTCGGCCTCCTTGATGAGATAAACGCAATTTTATTAATTATAACTAATAAAATTAAAATGAAATTAATAAATTATATATTTTACCTAATTTATTATTACATATTATTACTCCAACCTACAGCAATTTCAAATAAAAAAATAATGGTACTTAAGATAATTACAAAAAAAATAATTTTATAAAGTTTTAACATCCTATAACTCTAAAACTATGCATTACCCATGTTTATAGGAACTTTTTTTCATATCCTTTGATGAGGAATCAATGAGTACTTATTTAAAACTTTCGCATAATAATATTAGTTTTTTAAAGGCTGCTATTAGACTTGGATCAAAGCAAATTAATATAATTGCGTTTATCTCATCAAGGAGGCCGAAATCGACAAAATATCTAGAGACAACTTTTAATCGGTATTAAACTGCTTACACTATTTCGCTAACAAGAGAAAAATAAGTCAGTGGCGTACATGCTTTTTTTAGAAAAATATTCGAGTAATAACCCATATGCACGTCCCTGGTGAATATATCGACACTTTTTTAGCATTAAAATATGTCGCATTAATAGTAATTTTTACCCTCAATATTTCATTCGCTAAACGCTAAAATACTTGGAAGAAAATTATAATAAATCGAAAAAATATTAAGACTTTAACACCCTGTAGCTACGAAATAAAGCAGAATCGGACCTATGTTCATATGAAGAATAAATCTTATTTTATTGTGGGGAATCTCCCTACGAAAGATGGCACATGTTTTTTGAAACACCCTGTATGATAATATTTTTAATTTCAAATTTCAATTAAAAGTGTAATCCAAAGAAATCAATTAATATTAAAATAATAAAAATATAAACATTATATTACCGTCTAAGTTCTAATATAAAAAAGTTCTCTCTAATAAAAGTGTATTCTATTAAATTATCTACTGGTATTTATTAATAAATTCAAAATTCTTTTAAGAACTATTGGGTTGTTTGATATAATTTACTTTAAATATATGAATTATATAAATATAAAAAATAATAATTATTCCATAATTAATTAGCCCTGTCTACTTTTCTTAAACATTTCTAATTTAAGCGCATTCGCCATTTCGTCAAGATATGAAATATTATTATAGTACTTATCTTATATTACTGTCAATAACGTTATATATTTTATTTTTGGATAGACTATAGTTGTGCAGTTGATGTACTATTATTATGTGTTGCACTGACTAAATTCTCCTTCAATTTATAAAATAATTTCATAGGCAATAACTTAATAAAAGGAAGATAAAATAACGTTTATTCTATTTCTCTATGACAAAACTAGTTCTTTAAAAATAAATTAAAACAAAGAGATATTTATTTCATTTATAAAATATTTTTTTTATAATAAAAGTATTAATTAACAATTTAATGTTTCAGTGGAAGATGAGAAAAATCATTGTGATACCTCCAATCGTCCATGAGTTGCCAGTTATAATATAAGACTAGATATAAGAAAACCTATTTTTGTATTGTGTTTAAGGAAAAGTAAATAAACGTTTAATTTTGTTTAATGGTTGTTTTATTTCTTATTAAAATATTTAAAGGTCTACTAAACTTTCAAGCTTATGTTGTTTTAGTTGTAAATCATGTACCTAATAGTAATAGTCTCCTATAAATACAGGGTGAGTCTTATATTATAAGTGCAAATATTTACAGGGCTGGTAGATCTCGATAAAAGAAACAGATTTTCTATTTACCGTGTTTCAAATAAGTCCGAAATAACCAGGGTTGGAAAAAATCATGATTTAAAAAAAAACCAAAAAAACAGATTTTTTTATTTAAATCAGTTTTTTTTTTATTTAAATCAGATTTTTTTTATTTTAATTCAAAACAATATTTAAATGGGATTTCCAATTGACTAGGAATTATTTCCAATTAAAGTTCTATCCTAAATCGCTAAATCTTTATAACTCTGCCCGATACCGATAACATTAACAATTCTACGGCGCGTTTGCCATTTTTCACATCGGTCACCAATATATTCCGCAAAAAAAGTTGCTTGCTTTAGATCAAAAGGATTTTTTTTCAAACATCTCAAAAATATTAACTTTTGTCATTTTAACGCCTAAGCATAAAAGTAAAGCACTTTTACGCCTAAGCACAAAAGTACAAAAATATATTATTAAACTGATATTAAGTGTCCAATTCAACGAGTGTACAAATTGTTGCTCGACTACTACTGTTCCTATTGTTTGCAATGTTTGAAATTCATTAAAAAATTATTTGTAATGTTTTAAAAGAAATAGTATGTTCTATTCGTAGTAAAAATGTACTTTTTGTGCCTCCCTGTAACGTCGGAATAGCTTCATGATGGTCCTTCAAAGGTACAGCATCGTCAAAAAAGTATAATTTTTACTCCTAACCTAACAAAACAATACACTATTGTTGGGAAATAGTCTTAAGTCGAGAATGAAATTAGTATGTATTATCTAATGTCAAAGTGTAAAGTACTTACTGCAGATCAAAATGTCGGTCGGTATTAATTTGGAAACATACAACTGTTTCAAAAAAAATATAAAACAACACATTTTCTGACAACGATTATAGAATCTCGAGAATGAAGATATAGTCTCTATATCAGAAGAACCTAGTTCTGGCACTAGACTTTGCGAATTTGCGAATATGTATTCGAACAGCGCATTTTTGTCACTTATACATAAATTTTAAAATAAATTCCTGCGTTTAGCCATAGGTTTAGCGGTCCAATGGATTCACACGAAATTGCTTCAAAAATCGGCCTAACATTTAAATCTTGATGAATAGATATTTTTATATAGTTTTATAACATTTACAATTATTTTTCGATTTATTATATGTTATATCTGTTATAGAAATATTTTTTTCTAGTTTTCTAAGACACATTTTTATAACTTTTACAGTTATTTTTTGATTTATTATAAAGTTTCAATAAAATTATTTCTTTTTGATTTAAATCATGCCAACCTTGGAAATAACCGAGTTATTTGAGTTTGAGAATTTTAAAATTTTAAACAATAATAATTATTTAAAAAAAAAGTTATTTGCAAAAAAAATTGAGAGCCCTCGGATTTTTTTCTGTATTTGCAATAATATCCGAGATTAAGAAATTTTACCATGAGAAATTTTGCGGTGAACAAGCAGTTCTAAAAAGTTTTTCCTAAATATACAGGAAAATTAAAAAAATACACAATTTTTAACATCATTTATGCAAAAAAAACATGTGTTCCTGGGATCGAAAAATACCATCCCTAAAATTATTTGCACTTATCTAAGACTCACCCTGTATAGTCTGCTCAACAAGAGAATTGCTGGCAGTAATAATTTTTGTGTCTGCCATTTTAATGTTCAGAAAAATTATATTTTTTATATATTTGTATGTCGCCTGGTCAAATATTCCCTCATTCATTAGACAGTATACAGGATCAGGCAATAGTGCGTCGGGTATCTGTAGCTCCTAGAATAAAAAAATTAAGAATTTTGTTTAAGTGTAAACTTAAAGTATGTACAAGAATGTATTTCAGGAAAATATTTTAACTTATATATGGTAGCTCAAGAAAGTGTGAGTGGATCGGTATGATGTTTTTTAAATGGGACATCCTCTATATTATTGCATTTTTGGCTTCCTTTCAGATCACTTTACATAATCCTAATAAGATATGAGTAAACATATTTCGATAATTTCAGAGATATTAATAAATAAATAAAAAATATATTTTTTCAGCTTTTCTTAAAAAAAGTATTAACTGTCCTGAAATCAAAACTATATTAGGTATTTACTTTAGATTGTCTATACTTACTTTGCTATAAATATGGTAATCGTAAATCATACAGGATGTTCAAAATTCTATGCCAAACTTTCTAAAATATAAAATAATTTTTCTTCGTTTTGTTTTTAAGTAACAAACACCCTGCATATTATTTTTCCAATAATAGATGGAGAATTAAAAAATAAATATTTTTTGTATTTAGAGTATTTCAAAATATTTAACGGTTTCATAGATATTCGCAGTTTTATATTTCATATAGCATTTTCCACAGTAAATTCTTATCAAAGCCACACAATGATTTTTCACTGGTATTTTACCGTTGAAAGAGCCATATGAAATAATACTGCGTGTATCTGCCAAACCATTCAAAATCTTGAAATACTTCTTGAAAAACTCTCCATCTAACAAAAAAATAATATACAGGGTGTTCCATATAAAAAAAAGGAGAAAAATTATTATATATTTTAGAAAGTTTGGCGTAGAATTTTGAACATCCTGTGTGATTTACGATTACCACACTTATAGCAAAGTAAATACAGACCATCTGAATCAAAAAGCTAAAATAGTTTTGATTTCAGGACAATTCTTGTATTTTTAATAATTTTTTTTAAGAAAGGATGAAAACATATATTTTTATTTATTTATTAATATCTCTGAAACTATCGAAATATGTTTACTCACATCTTTGGATTATGTGAAGTGATCTGAAAGAAATCCAAAAATGAAATAATATACAGGGTGTTCCATTTAAAAAAAATCATGCCCATCCACTCACACTTTTTTGAGCCACCCTATAGAAGTTAAAATATTTTTCTAAAATGCATCCTCGTACATACTTTAGGTTTACACTTAAACAAAATTCTCAAGTTTTTTTATTCTAGGAGCTACAGATGCCCGACGCACTATTGCCGGACCCTCATATAACATTAATATACCTTTGTTATATTCTATACTCTGTGCCTTTGCTATCAAACACAAACTCTAAAATAAAATACAGTTATATTAGAGGTTCCTGTGGAGGTACTAATGATATACGTTTTAATGTAGCTTTATGAAGATGGCGTTTTTCATTTCTCCCAGTTATATTTTTTTAAATACACTAAGCGTAGAAAATATCAGTTGTTCTCGCAAAGTTATGGCATTGCCCTTATAGTATGTGCTTATAAACACTACAGTCATTGAAAAAATAATCAGTTACATATTACCACATTTAATAACTACTAAAATTAGTTTTTTCTTAGAAATAATTTTGAACTGAACAATAACAATAATCATCAAAAAACAACTACCAAACTCAATAGTATAGAAAGGTGATTAATTTCCCTCTTTGATTAAAACTATTTTAGCAAGAAATGTCTTAAAACACTGCGACAATAGTTAATAATATAATCTAGAAAATGTGAATTACAAAATGATAAATTCTGTATTTTACATAGTTTATTAATATCTCCTAATTATACTAATATCTGAAAACTGTTCTTAGATAATGTTTTAAATGCGCATTTTTTAAATCCACTTTGATGACTTACTCATATTAATCAGGGTAAAATAGATTAAAGAACAAAAACAGTATACTAGTTATTTATTTCCTGTTAGTAATAGCTTTGTAGCGAGTTTTTTTTTTCATCTCTTGAACACAGCTGAATAGGTATTTCGCGATTGAAATAGAAATCTAAAAAATAAAGAAAGTAAAATTCTACATTAAAATGCTACTGGGTGTACTCATTAGAGTCATATCATGGAAACCTGCAGTTACTAGGTATCTTCTTAGTATCATGGCATGACTCAAGCATTCAATTTTACTTTTTTTATTTTTTTATGTTATCTCTATCTATGTTAAGCGTAGTAAAGCCCTCTCTTACCATACTATTTTTTGTATTTTATCAGGAGTTTTTTTTATAGATGTAGGAAAATACATTTGTGTATCTCAGAACCAGAAGTTTGGCCTAGTATGTCGGATTTAATATTATCGCTATACAGTGGTTTTATTTCGGAATGGTATCTATGAGAAAGAATGCCCTAGTTGATATAGAAATCTACTATAATAAAATCGCAACCTAAGTTTAAAGGTTAAAAAAAGTAAAATAAAATGACAAGTTAAAAGGTAATAAATAAATACATAAAAGTTTGAGTATAAAAAGAATCACCTCATGACAACAGCATAACGAAAAGGCGAAAATTATCATAGTCAGTAACAGGTATATCTGAGATAGATATGTAGTAAGGCCTTCAGTAACATATGGCATCTTTGGTAATATGGCTTAAGGTAATGCAACAAACAACAGTTCTCATTCTCAGCAAGGTGCAAAGACTTGTTTGTCTGCGCATAACAGGAGCAACAAAAACAACGCCTAAACTGCATCAATGGTGGCGCTTCTGGACCTTCCGTCTCTTCACATAATAATCCAGGCGGAAGCAAGAATGGGACTCTATCGACAACAAAATGCGTTGTCTCTGAGAAATGGGAATAGAATAGCAACAGGACACTTAAAGATGGGGGATTCTATAAGGAGGCCTCTACTCCAAATGAGATTGGACCAAATGACCTCCTTTTATCACTAGCACAAAACATTCGAGGTGAATAAAATGGATCGAGAAATGTGGGCAAATATAACATTCCTTCAGAACGAACTAATAACTACAGACGGGCAAAGACAAACGAACGGAAAGTGCAAGCTTATCCTTTTTCCTTGAGTAACTACTTAATCCTGTTTTAAACAGAAACCTTTGTCATTCTCCAAATTGCTCAGGTAAACTCATCAGTA